AGCCCCAGGGCCCTGGTACCCAGGCTGCCGCGGGCACTGCACTGCTCTCTCCCCTGCCCCTCTGGTCCGGGGTGTCCGCGTGGCACCTGGACGGCAGGCCGCTCCTGCGGGTCTGAAGGCTCACGTGGCCTGGGACCAGGCCCCCAAGTTCTGGTTCTGATCCGCCCTCAGCGCCCTCATCAGGGGCGCCGGGACGGAGAGCGGATTGCATTAGCGGCACCGGCTCCCGCGCCCCGGGACAGGATAAAAGGAAACAGACCTCCGAGTCAAAGCAGACCTGACGGCCGCTCCTCGGTCCCTCCCGGAGAAGGGCCACCCCCCGAGGGCTCACACTGCACCTCACGTAGGACCTGCTGGCACCTGTGCGTGGGAGCCAAGCAGAGACCCACCCCCTCCCTCTTTCCCCAACTCAGGTGCTCCACCTTCCGAAGGGGCAAGGCTCCCCTGAGGGCTGGACTCGCAGGGCACTGAGTGCTCTTCCTTTATGCTAATGAGACAGTCAGCTGACAGGGCCACAGACAGGACACAGGGAGAGGCCCTGCCTCCAGCAGCGCCCTCTGTCCCGGGAAGACAAGAGGTGCCAGAAACAGCCCGGCCAGTGTGGCTCTGTGGTTGGACGTCGACCTGTGAACCTGGGCGTGGACCTGTGAACCTGGGGGTCTCAGTTTGATTCCCTGTTCAGGCTCGATCCCCCGTGTGGGGAATGCAGGAGGCAGCCCATCACTGATTCTCTCTCATCGTTGATGTTTCTCTCTCTCTCCCTCTCCCTTCCTCTCTGAAAGCAATAAAAACATATTTAAAAACAAACAGGAAACCTTAAGAAGCTCAATGAAAAACGGGACCACCACGCCCTCCTCCGGAGAGAGCAGAGGCTCACGCTCTGGTATGAAAGAGCCCCACTGAAATAGAATCCTGCCACTTTCCTTCTCACTCTTCTCTCATTCATACGTTACACACCTGAGGGCATTCAAGCAAGCCCAAAGCGTTTTCCAGAAGGGGTCCTCAAAAAAAAACAAAACAACGAAGCCAGGGTTGGTGGCACAGAGATGCGCGCAGGGCAGAGGGCACACGCCGTCACCCCTCACGTGCTCCACGCGTCACACGGAGTCCCAACACCAGAGGAGCGGGTGCAAGCTGACACAGGCCCCATCACTGGGCGCACAGGGACCGCCTTCCCGGCCACGCCTCTGCCCCACGGTCCCCACCACCCACCACTGTGCCTCCGCTGGCAGCGAGCCAGCCGCCAATCCATACGTTACATCCGATAATTAAACATACAGCGTTCCGTAATCTTATTTAATGGTTCCTCGGCTTGCACTGGAACGCGTCCACGAGGCGGCCGGAGAGCGGGATTGGATTATAACGCGGAAGGCCTTTCTGAGACGGCCCGGAGTCCGAGCACACACCGCCCCGAGCAGCACTTCCGTCGCCAATCAGCCTCCTGGCACGGAAGGCCGCGGCCAGCGCACCGGGCAGGCGCCTGCATGGGGGGGGAGAGGGGGCGGCGGAGGGGGAAGGGAACAGCAAAGCCCTTTTCTTCCATTTGGTTTTATATCAAGTAAATATTACGTCACCTGTTACTTTTGGGAAAGGAACAAAAGTATGCAATATTGGGGGAAGGGGAGACGGGCGGGAGAACCAGTTATCCTGAGAAAATAAAAAATGAGAGTCAGCAGCAAAGGCCCATCATAAACCACCAGCTGGGCAGAATCTAGAAGCCAACTCGGCTCCATGGACAGAGCATCGGCCTATGGACTGAAGAGTCCCGGGTTCGATTCCCATTGAGGGCACCTCGGCTGCAGACCGCACCTCCAGCCCTGGTTGGGGCACGTGCGGGAGGCAGCCCATCCATGTCTGTCTGTCTGTCTCTCTCTCTCTCTCTCTCTCTCTCTCTTCTCTCTCTCTCTCTCTCTTGCATGAATGTTTCTCTCCATCTCGTCCCCTTCCCTCTGGCTCTCTCCAAAAACCAAGGGAGCACTATCCCGGGGTGAGGACGCACAAAATACAAAACAAACACATAAAGGCCACCCTCTGCTCTGAGGTCCTCCCAGCCCAAGTGTTCCCTTACAGAGGATTCGGAAAAGAGGGATTCATTCGGCTAGAGAGCCGGTCGATGTGGACGAAGCCTTCCTCGTTACAAAGCAGGCTGTCCCGTTACCACACCGTGCTGACTACCGACGTGAGGGAGTGCTCGTGGGAGGACTGTCTTCCAAAGAGAAAACCCTGCCAGAGAAATCAGCTGCTTCGGAGGAGACCAGGAGACAAGCCCGGGGAGAGGGTGTGTTTGGGAAACCCAGGTAAGCCAGCCGGGAGGGAGCCGGCGTGTGAATGCAGTGACCTTGGAGGGCCTAAGGGAACGCGGGCACAGCCTTCTGCTCCATCTCTCCGGGGAGGCGTGCACAGCGAGAACAACGGCCCTAAGAGAGGCCCCGAGTTCCTGCCGCATCCCTCTGGGTCACCGTGGGCGTGCAGAGCTGGCGGGTCCGGGCTCCTCCCCGGGAACGTGGGGACCCCAGAGCCGGCCCACACGGGGTGCAAGCCTGAGGACGGGACTCAGGAGCGGGCGCGGGGCAGAGCGCTGGAAACTTCCAAGTACCACGCACACAGGCGTGAGGCCTGGGAGACCTTCACCGTCAGAGGTCCCCGTGCCCGCCTCCCCACGGGCGGTGACCCCACCATCACCCTGCGAGTTGGAGCCGGAGACGGAGTCCGGGGTCGGGGAGCAGAAGGACCTCGGAGGGAAGTTTCCTTGGGAGACAAAGAGAAACACAGCTCATTGAGAATTAAAATGCCCCCCCCACCCCCTCAGCCCGCCGATACCAAGAGAGAGCGATAGATGGCCGTCGGACTGAAAACCACAGCTGCCCGGCCGGGGAGCTCAGACCTCAGGCAGCTTCAGAGACAAACGCCAGGCAGGCAGGGGTTACGTAACAGCACCGGGCACCGGGCACGGTCCAGGGACCGCCTGCGGGGGCGGGGGAGGCAGCCTGTGGCCGAGGGGAGCCTGTGGCCCAGGGGAGCCTGCGTCTGCAGGAAGGAAATCAGCGATGAGCGCACGCGCGCACACACACACACACACACACACACACACACACCAGGACCCTCCTCCCGCCGCCCAGCTGCTCGGTGAGAGATGTGCTTCCAGCAAGAGCTGCGTCTTCAATGGAGAAGCGAGCTCTCACGCTGGTTGTCAAGGTTCCCCCCGGGGACCTGTCTCAGGGAACCGGAGGCCGTAGCACTAGCAACTAACGGCGCAGGAACCAAAGGAGCTCTGAACGGAGGGGCCACACGGCGCTATGGCAACACGGCGCCGGAGAGGGGACTTCCACGGCAACTCACTGGCTCCACTCCGCTCCTTCCCGGCCCGGCATCGCCGGAGCCGGCCTCTCTGTGCGGAGAAGCCACCCCGAGCCCACGGACAGAGCACCCCTAACCCTGCCCTCTCCCAGCGCGGACAGGGACGTGCCCTCCACAGCACAAGACGTGGGTGCACCCTGAGGAGCAGGGGGTGCCGCCCCCCGCAGACCCCACTGTGCAGGGAGAGTGGGCACCCCACTCCGGTTCCTCCCCTCACACGGGGTCGCATGCTGCTGCTCTCTCCCCAGCCCCTGCCTCTCACGCAGCACAAGCCTGAGATGAAAACGCCCCGGGAGCACTCTGCACACCCATCCCTGTCCCACCACCCAACTCCAGCCGGACTCCAGGAGGCAGGGGGTCGCCCTGGACCACCGCCATCAGGGCACACACAGCCCCACCTCGGAGGATAGGCTGCACATGGCCAGCACAGGGGTCACGGCTTTAACATGCGGACACCCGGACACACAGAACATGTCTGCTTATCTCGCACTTCCAGCAGGGAAGCAGCCGGCGTGGAGGCCGGCAGACGGGGTTTGCCTCGGGAACTATCCGGGCTGGCGCTGCCGAGTGAGCCACCGGGAGGTGACAGGTCTGCCTGTGACAGAACAGGGCTCCCGCCTTTGCCCTGAGGGAAAGCAGACCCGTGGCCCCCACACCCCTCTTCCTCTGAAGGGCGATCCCAGACCCCGGAGGAGCCCAGAGCAGCTGCTGGGGGAGGCACGTCCAGAGGAGCCCAGAGCAGCTGCTAAGAGGAGGGACCAGCCCGGGATGCTGTCCCGGGAGGCACGTCTCCCTGTGCCCCTCACCGCCCCCCACCTGCCAGGCTGCCCCCCTGAGCTGGCCAGGATGGTGCTGATGGCACGGGCTTACGTGGCCCATGTTCCCGACCCTGAGTCAGCCACCCCTGAGGGTCACCCAGCTCTTCTCCAAAAGAGGGCAGGCCAGCCACCAGGGGCAAGATCCTGCACCTGCCTCTTCCCTCCTGCCCCCTCCAACGGCCAGTCTCAGGGTTGTCCTGACTGGCTCACCCCAAGGAGGGCAGACTGCCCCCTTGCCCTCCCACTCTGATCCCCAGGGCTGCCAGAGACTCCGGAGAAACAGGGAGAGGAGAGGGCCTCTGCGCCCTCCTCTAAGCTCCTGGGGTCTGCCCCCAGCCTCCTCCAAGGTCCTCAAACTTCCCAGCACCCGAGCACCTGTTCCCGTCCCCTCTCTGCATCTGCGTCCCTCGATCTTCCATCTCCCTCCAGCCCTCTCTCTCCAGTTCTCTGGGCAAACCAAGCACCAGCTCCCTGCCTCCCCCTCCTCTCCAAGCGCTCCCCCAACCCCCACCCAGCAGAGCCCCCGGAGGAGCCTGTCCCCGCCCCAAGTTCCCCTCTGGTCTCCTAGGTCCCCAAGGACTCCCTCCGAGTCTCATCGGAACCAGAACGCCCAGCCTCTTCCCTCCAGAGTCTCCTCGATTCGCACCCGAGCTTTCCCTGGGTGTCCCACATCCTCCCAGGTCCCCCCTAACGCCCCCAGTTGGCTACCTGGGCCCCTCCAGTCCCCCAGGGCTATTTGGAGCGCGGTCCCCCCTCCCCTGGCCCGTGGCCCCCGGCCATCACCCCCAGGACCCAGGCGGAGGTTGGGAGCCCCGGTGCGCTCACCTCGGTTCACCAGCCGCAGGGCGTGCGTGAAGGAGGGGTCCAGCGAGTCCTTCTCGGCCATGAGCTCCGGCAGGTACTTGTCCTCCATGCCCGCCGCCGCCGGCCCGGGACGCCGACTCCGGGCGGGAGGGCGGGCGGGCCGGCAGCCGCGGCCCCGCAGCCCCCGACCGCGCCCGCGCCCCAGCCCCAGCGGCGCGGGACCCCGGGAGGGCGCGGCCGAGCCCCGCCGCGCACGCAGCCCGCGGGCAGGGCAGGCAGCTCCGGTCCCGGTGGCCGCCCGCCCAGTGCCCGGCGCCGGGAACCGGACCGCGCTCCGCCCAGGGCGCCGGGGAGCGGCGCGGTCCGGCGCGATGGGACCCCGGGGACGGCGGGCGGCTCCGATCGCGGGCGGCGCGCTCCGCACACCCGGACAGTCCCGGGGACCCGCTCCGCTCCGCCGCCACCGCGCTCCGCGCCGCCCGCCTCCGAGCCGCCGCCGCCCCGCCCGCCGCGCCTGCGCGCTGTCCCCGCGCCCGCGCCCCGCGCCCCGCGCCCCGCGCCCCCGGCTTCGCCGCCGCCGCCGCCGCCGCCGTGTGGGGCCGCCCGTCCGCAGGGAGGGGCGCCGTGGCTCCTCCCGCCGGCCCCGCCCCTCCTCCCGCCCCGGGGGCCTCCCTGACGCGGGACCCAGACACTGAGGCCCAGGGCGGTCGGCGGTCGGGCCAAGGTCACCGGGAGCGATCTCCGGAGAGAGCGGTGCGCCCGGAGCCCCGGGGCGGGGGCCAGGCCGGGGAGGGGACCGGAGCGGCCGGGACCCCCTGCGCGCCCCGGGGCCGGCCACCGCGCAGGCTCCCTGCCCGGGCGCCCAGGACTTGCTAACTTATTTCTTTTTGCCGCCCCCTCCTCTGGGCACGGAAAAGCCACCACGGGCTCAGGCGCTCCTGGGTGCCGGCTCTGAGCGCCCATCCCTGACCCTCGGTGCCCAGGCCCGTTCATTACATCACAGCGCGCGCCCGCCCTTCAGGGCGCCTTTGTCCTCCGGAGTCACCCCGGCTGTCGCTCTCTGTGCCCGGAAGCCTGCTGTGCCCTGTGCCCTGTGCCCGGAGGCAGAGGAGACAGTCCCCGGGGTGCCTGTCCGCCCGCAGGGAGAGTGCCTGGGTGCCTGTGTCCTCTGTCCGCCCCAGCCCCAACCCCGCTGCCCAACCCCGCTGCCCCCCCCCCCCCCAACCAACAAGCCATTTTCCAGGTTTTTCCTGAGCCTGTGGAATAACCATCCCCCAGCAGGCCGAGGACTCCAGTCTATTCTGCCTGCCCCCGCTCCCAGCCCCCCAAAGTCCTGGCCTCCATGCCACCTTCCCTGGACAGCCTTCCGAGAACCCCCTTCCCGCCCCTGAGTGCTGCTTGGTGGGCTTCGTTCCTTTTTCCCCTGCGTGGCTGGTCCCCGGGACCTCCCTGCCCCTCAGCTGAAGCTCCGCCCCCTCCCCCCCCCACTCCCCCACCCACACTGCCCAGCAGACCCGGTGAAGGGCCTGGGAGAAGATGGCTCTGTAGATCACCTGGGGCCCAGGGTGGGCTGCCAGGACCCCAGCGTGGGCGGCTCCAGTCCCAGCTCCTCCCTGACCGGCTGCCACCTCAGCCAATCCCCCTGTGAGCTGAGCTTCCCACACATCTGCACATGCTATGCCAGGTCCTGCCCTGGAAGGCGGGGGGGGGGGGGGGGGGGGGGGGGGGGGGGGGGGGGGGGGGGGAAGGAGAGGGGGCAGCTGGGAGGCCCGCGGGGCAGTGCTTTGCATGCACATCCCTCTGGCTTCCATTCCTCCATCGCGGGCCTTACCCTAGGGCACATGTGTCAAACACAAGGCCCGCGGGCCAAATCCGTCCCGCCAGGCCTTGCAATGTGGCCCGCACCGCGCTGTCATCACTGCACTCCACTGCGTTTCCATCACAATGACAGTTTATGACTGTTCAGTAAACCATTCAGCCCGAGATTTAGGCTGGATTTTAGATTTTGGCCCCTTCTCTGATTGAGTTCGACACCCCTACCCTAGGGCTTGCATCCTGGATGGCCACCTGCAAAGGGAGGGCTGGAGAAGGGCAGGTCTGGGACAAGGAGGAGCCCCAGGAGAGTAGCACGGGGACCTAGGCCGGCTGCTCTCTCACCACGTGGCCTCTCACTCTCCTTCCCACGTCAGCCTGTGTCCCAGGGACAGCCCTGGCCGGGTGGCCGCCGTCTTCATTCAGCATCTACTAAGTGCCAGGCGCGTGCCAGCGGCTCTGCACTCACTGTTCTCCCTTCTCTCCGCACCCTGGAGGGGAGATACCATTCCTCGTCACGTTACCAGTGAGGAGACCGGGCCCCGGAGCAGCCTGGTGCTCCACCCAAGCCCCACAGCCGTCCATGAGGGACCCTCCAGCTCCCTCTCCCTCCTCCCCTGTCCCAGCCTCCCGGTGAGCAGCAGGAGACACTCCCGCCTGGCTCAGCCCTTCCTCCCTCCCTCCTGCATCAGAACAGTTGGCAGAGGTGCCCACCAGCAGCTGGGGAGGAGGGCTGCACACCAGGAAGCCGCCAGCAGGGGCACTGAATCTTCCCTCGGACCCTCCTCCTCACAGAGCCTTCCAGGAGGGCAGGTGCCCAGCGCCGCGCATGCCTGTGTGGGATCCCGCGGGGAGGACAGAGCCGATGTCTGTGTGAGGTGTCAGGAAATTGTCCCCACCCTCCCACCTGCTGAGCCGCTGGCTGGGGGGGTGGGGGAGAGGGGGCATCCTCCAGGCCTCGCTGCAGTCTGCTGGCCATCCTGTGGGCTCTGGCGCTCCGGTCCCTTTGAAGATGGAAAGTCACGTTGGAGAAAAGTGGTCGTTTTTCTGCAAGGAGATCTCCCATGCCAGCCTCCGAGCAGGAAACAGGCAGCAGCTCCAACCATAAGGGCCTCACAAGGTTTAACGGAAGTGCTGAGTTCATCCCGGCACCAGGGGCCTGCGTTTAACGCATCCGACGCTCTCCTCTCGCCCTCCACTAGCACTGTTCCTGCTCCTCCCATGCTTCACCCATCGGTGCCCTGCCTCCTGGCTGTCCTCAGAGCCCGGTTCTCTCCACGCCCAGGTCTGTGCCGGCCAGGCAGTCGGTTCGTGGCGAGCTCTCAGCTCTCCTTTGCGTCCCTCTGTCCCGAAGGCGGAATCCTCACGGCCCGGCTCCCCGGCTCCCTGAGACAAATGAGTGTGTGGTGTAAGACAAGCGCCCAAAGATGGCCCGGCCTCGCCTGCGAATCAGTCATCCCCGTGCCGGAGACACCAAGGATGCTCGCTCAGATCCCCGGCCGCTGCCAGTTACCGCGGGGACTGCACTGCCCACCTGGAGCTGATGGGGAAGGCCTGACCCGTGCAGGGAGCAGGGCCCGGAAACCTCCAAGCCAGCCGGGCCTCCGGAGGACCAGGGTGCTGTCCGTGGTCCTCTTCTATTCACTCAACCGCCTTCCCAAACCTCCTGCCTTCCGGGAAACGGCGCTGGAAGGGACCGTCCCCATCAGCTGGGTCCCAGGCCACTGGTTCTGAGAGGTGAAGACACTGCTGCTCAGACACCTGAGCGACCTAAAGGCAGTAATGAGACCATTGCACACGCGGCACACTCCACCCATGCCCACGTCTGGGTGACATCGGACCCTGCAGGCCGGTCACTCACCTTCCTCAAGACACCTGCCTGTCTGCACCCGTGTTCCCTACACGTCTGTTCCCTCCTCACACTATTTGGCGGGTGGAAACCCCAAGCCTTCTAGGCACACACACCCCCTTCCTCCCCCCGGAAAAGAGCCCTCAAGGTCCCTGCAGCTCCTAAAACCACAGCTATTGCGCACGCGCCCCCTCGTGGCCAAGTGTGGAAGTGCAGGCTCCCAAAAGTGGAGCCAGATTGATAACCCTTGGGGTGGACCTGGTCCCCAGGCCTTCGAGAGCCTCTCTCAGAGCCGAAGCCGAGGCCGCTGGGGCTGTGAGTGGCGGCTGTGGAGACAGAAGGGTTGGGTTCCGAGCCCAGCTCTGCTGTTTTACACCCTGTTTCCTTGGACTGAGGAGGACGTAACCTCTTCTGTCTCCGATGTCTCATCCGCCTGATGAAGGAAAGTCGTCCCTGTGACGTAAGGTTGTTGTGGGAAGTAAATGAGCTATTGGAGGTATTACATGAACAGGGGGCGGGGGGTACGCCCTGTTACCAGCCCCGAGACCCAGGCTGTGTGCTGAACACACAGGGAGCTCCCTCTGTCCCTCCTGCAGGGAAGCCCACGGGGAGATCAGCACCAGCAGCGTGGACAGCGCCCTCCGGCTCTAAGAGCATAACCTGCAGAGCCAGCTACCCTCAAAGGGTGGGACCTTGAGCTAGTTACGTCCCAGCTCTGTGCCTGTCACCTCTTGTAAAACAAAAAACAAAAAAAAAACAAACAAAAAAAACGGGACTACAGGGGCACCTATATCCCTGAGCTGTTCTGAGGACAGATCTTCCTCTCCAAGGGGCTGGAATGGTGCCTTCCCTCCCTTTCCTCCTTTCTCCCTTCTCTCCTTCTCTCCATCACTCTCCTCCTTGTCCAGCTGGCTAGATAAACAAATGACTCATGGCTCTGTGGCCACGAGTGTGTGGAGAGTCTTTCCAAGTAATCAGCTAAAAAGTGCATCTCAATATGTGCTTCGTAAGCCACCTGCCCCAGCTCATTGCCGGCTCATTGGCTGGGCTGGGCTGGGCTGCCCAGGGAATGGGCAGTTTCCCAGGCGAAAGGGCAAGGAAGCGGGTGTGGAGAGCCAGTCTCGGTGCTGAGGGAAACACGCCTAGAGCTGTGATCTGGAGGATTGTCTGGAGAGATGATGGGAGGATGTTTGAGGAGGTGCGGAGGGGGCTGCAAACTCAGGGCTCTCTTTTCCTGTGCTCATGAGAAGCATCAAGTTCCCAGAGTTTAGCAGCTGAGAGTGTGAAATAGAGTGTTAACTTACTTAATAGTTTGTTACATATCAAGTCTAAAGAGCCAATTATGCAAAAGGAAAAAAAAATTTAACGCATCCATTTCAATTACATTAAAATCTACGTGAGCCAAAAAAAGCTTCGGTTGTGATATATATATATATATATATATATATATATATATATATATATATATATTATTACTGTAACTGGTATTGGAGAAACTCAAGTTCCAGTCTCTCCCTCCAAGATGGTCAGCCCATCTTTCAGCAGGTCTTTCATTTCTCCACTGAGTGCACTATCAAGTACCATATACCCTCTCATCCATTTCTTCATTCAGCACACACCATCCATCGCGTACCACGTGGGGAGCACGCCATGGAGTACCCCATGGAGCCCTGGGGACCTACAGCAGGATGGCTACATCCTCACCAAGCCCTGGTCCCACTCCTACCCTGGGGAGACAGATAGTAGCCAAGCACGCTCACGTCTATGTGGAAATTACAAATGGCGGATGCACGCTGTGAAGGAAGAAGGGTGAGCAGCCAGCTTAAACCAGG